GTTTCGAGCACGGTGGATTCCCGTTGATGCTAACGGGACCCTCACCGTTGTTTACCGTAAGTGTACCCCCCTCCCCCTGGCAAGCCCTCCCCCTGCCCTGTCGCCCTTCTGTGTGCCGGGGGGCATGTCCTCCACCCCCAGACCCCCCAGGCCCTGCCCCAGGCCCCCCAGACCCTGCTTGGCCTTGTCAGCTACCCGTTCACGCTATCCACGATGAACTGCTCGAGGCACGTTGGAAAAAAGCCCTTGCCGTGACCGCGCCGGGACAAGGGCCATGGGGCACGCTTGAGAAGGTAAGATGGGAGGAGAGGAGATGGGGACTCGGGAGCTCGCTCACAACCCCCAGCAGTCTCGGATTCCATTCTCGTCGACAATCTCAACAAGACTTCTTGTCCATTCTACCTACCACCGCTTGTCTTTGCTGCTGCTGCCCTTACCCACTGTCCATTTCCATCCCCCCCTCGTCAGATCGAGGGAAAAGGACCCTCTGATCTCACTCTTGCCCCTGGCATTGACCAAGCTTTGTCGTTTACCCCGTATCTTCCCAGACCCCATTCCGATCCCATCGCATCTCCAATCGTGCGACGGGCTCCAGGAGATCACGACAGACCGCAGACCAGGCCTTGTATTCAAGCCAATCCACGCCCGGGTGTTGGACACGGCATTGCGCCATTGACTGACTGTCTGTCCCGTCCTCCGGATCGGCCCCCTCACTTTCATCTTCGTCGGCCTCTGCCAGCAGCGAGACTCGAGACCCGGAACTCGAGACCCCGACCTCATCCACAGCCTTGAGGCCGGACAGCGAGTGACGAGCGCCCCTTGCTGCCAGAACAAGAAATTGCCATCTGGGAGCACCTCCAGCGTGAATTGACGCTGCCCTCGGTCGTTGGTTATTGTTCTGCGGATTCATCAGCCCTACGACCACCACCACCACAATACGTCCATCTCAGGACGTGAAGCGCTCGCTCCGCCAGGTTTCTTGTTCCGTCGTCGGCGGCACCCGGTTTGGAGATACAACTCGATTTGGGTCCGGAAGGGCACGGCAAAGCAGGAGGACGCTGGCAAGTACAGAACCGGAGTTGAGGGCTGCGGAACGCGGAACGGTACTGGCCATTGCCTAGACCTGAGTGGCCAGCAACCCCAGGCACACCACACTCACGCCCTCGACAAGAGCGATCCTTTTGCTTGGTTCCGTCTTACGATCCCTTCTCCATCCTGGACATTATCTTGTCTGGTTACAGCCTCTCCCACCCTAGCCCTCCACCTCGATCGAGCTACTGCGGACCACGAGCTTCCCTCGACCCTGCCAACCTTGTCGTTCTCCGCTTCCAGAACTCAGATCCCACTCAGCAGCCTGACTTCGACTGGCCTTCTGGTCCGCCAACTCGCAGCTCCAGGTGCAGCACGGAACAGAAGAGGGTGCCCGCTGCAGAGTGCACACGCAGGAGGCGTGGCAGCATCCCTCACCGTCACCGGTCATAATAGCACCAGCACCCTATAACACCAGTCCCCGCCCGCTGAGACCAGGACTTGACTGGCGGCACACCACCCACCACCCCTCGGCCTCCACCCTCGCAGCTACCACTCGGCAGACCTTGCCCCACCCATCTCGCCTGCTCGCGGACCTGCATTGCTGGCTGACTTGGGGCCAGCCCCTCTGCTCGCCGCCCTTCCCTCTACACCCACCCCCCTCCTGCCACCCCCCCTCTTGGCTGTCTGCCATTCTTACATATCTACTATTACTCCATCCCTCCCTCCACCGGGCTGACTGGTTACCCACCTCGCCTCCAACCACGACCAGCACAATCCAACATCAACTTGAGCTGAACTCGGTCTCGACTCTCACTCACTATCACGGACTCGACGTCAACTTGGCTGCACTCGCTCTTTCTTCCCACCACACCGCCACCAGCAGTCCTCACCGTCGACAAACCAACTGCTTGAGCACCCCCAGAACTGGTAGCACCACATCGTCACCATGTCGTCCGGTTTCTTATCAGCCGGCAACTACGAGCTCAAAGTTCGTCAGCAGCCCAAATATGCACGCGTCGCAATAGGCAAGGAGAAGGGTACCGGTGAGTCCAGCTGCGGCATGCCTCTCACACACAGACTAGGTGAACTGACACCAGGCAGACCGGAAACCGATCGACCCCCCTCCCATTGTCCAGCTGAATCTCACTTCGAGGCGGGATCCCAACAACAACTTCCTTCAGAACCCCTACCTCATCCTCACGGCCAGACTCATCAGCCCCAAGGATGACGACAGCTCCCCCGAAGAGACATCGCCATCCCCCAACCCCAAGGAGAACGCTCTTACAGGCACAGTCGTGTCGTCTCTCTACAGCCTCAAGGACACCGACAACACACAGGGCGGCTTCTTTGTCTTTGGAGACCTCTCAGTGAGGAAGGAAGGCCACTACCGGCTCGAATTCACGCTGTACGAGCTGAAGCTCGCAGACCGGGAGTGCTGGATGCTGTCGCGCGTTGTGTCGGACAAGTTTCAGGTGTTTTCGCAAAAGGAGTTCCCGGGCATGGCAGAGTCAACCTTCCTCACCCGGTCCTTCAGCGACCAAGGCGTGCGCCTCCGCCTCCGCAAAGATTCGAGGAGCATCACAACGAGGAAGAGGAACAGCTCGATGGCTCCCCACACACTCGACAACCTCCGCTACGGGCAAGGTCACAGCCCGGAGCAGAGCCCAACTACTCACCACCAGGCCCAGTTCCGCCGGACAGCCCCCATGGACCACAGCCTCCCACCAACACACTTGGACCGGGGGAGAGGGCCGCTCACGACGCACAGCGGCAACTACTACGCCGAGCCACCCCAACTGCGACAAGACTACGGAAGCGGGTCGTACGGCTACTCGGGATACGAGGAGCGCTCCAACAAGCGCCAGCGCGTCGACACGAGCAGCCACAGCTACGAGAGCGAATATGGCCCGTACTCGCAAGGACCTCGGACGGTGCCCGAGATGGGCGGAGGAATGTACCCCATCACCACGCAGATGCCCACCAGCCAGCCGCTCATGAGCGCATTGCCCATGCCGACGGGGCCAGCGCACTACACGTCGATCCCGCGGCTGAACACACAGATGGGGTCCGAGCCACCACACGCGCCGCAGCAGACGGAATTATCACCATACTCGCCACATGCCCACGGGTATCTCTGAGGGGCCCCCGAGCGACTAATACTGGATTTCATTTTCACTCGCACCGTGTCGGCGCTCTCTCGCGGTCCACTACGTTTGAAGAAGGGGTTAATGGCAACCCTATTCCGATGGGCGGCTTTGCCATCGGGGAGAAGGAAGAGGGAGGAGGAGAAAAGAATCGCATCATCATCTTGTCACCAAGGTTCTTCTGTTTACAAACATTTCGGCAAGCCAGCCCGCGCGCGTCGCGTGGACACTTCTTTCGGCAACAAGCTACTTTAGGGATACAGTGGACATTTTTGGCAAGACTTTTTTTTTCATTTGGGACAAGCACGAGATACCAGGTTTTTCTTTGGTTTTTATTTTTCCTTTTTGCTCAGCGAGACGGCGGCAGGGGAAAGGTTGGAAACTTGGCGGCGACGGTGGCGGCGGCGGCGAGGGAAGGGATACCCACCGGATGATGGATGGATGGGTTGGGTCAACGCGTGGTGCATGATATCCTTTTTTTCCTTTTGTCGAGTCTTTTTGCTTGTCAGCTGTTTGTGCAACAAGAGAGAGAGAGAGAGAAGGATACCCTGTGGCAGCAACAACAAGTTGCCAGTTGAGCTCGTCGGTCGGCTTCATGCTTGCAACCCCCTACCCCCTTACCCCCCACTCCCCTACACACACACACATTATTTACTAGAGTTTGAGAGAGACCTACCTGTCTACCAACGTGCCAACACGGACACGGTACACCACCAAATATGAGCGGCTTCTTCGTATCGTTTGCTTTCTTTTTGATGACTGGGGAGGTGATGGGTTTCGTTGGCTACGCCGGGGGGGAGGCTGGGAAAATATTAGGTAGGGGGAGGAAGCCGGGAAGGAGGTAGATACAGGCAGAATGATATGGCGACAACGCCCCAATTCCGATATCTTGCACATTGCCTTTTGCTTTCTCGTCGCCCGCCCAGCAGTGTGTGCATGTGTGCTGCCCGCAGCGGGGGGAGAAGCAGACCGTTCCAGGGGACCAAGCATTGCGTTTGTCCCTCCATGGGCATTCTGACCTCGAGGCTCGAGCAGGAGGAGGGCGGAGGGCCGATACGTGGCGAGGCCCGGGGAAGGGGGTGTCGAGGGACCAGCGGGGCTGGAAGGTTCAACTTGAGGTGTTGGTGGTATGGTTGACGAGCGGGGACTGCAGCAGAGAGTCGGTTTTCTGTGAACTTGCAGCACTGCTTGGAAGTGGCGGTGTTGATGATGCCTTCTTGCTGGGTGGTTGTCGTCGAAGGTTCCCGCGGGAGTCTCGGTCGTAGGTACGCTCCAACACTTGACCGCCCGCAGCCGTGGATCGCCACTCAAGTGTGACCGGCGGTACATTCTTGATGCAGCAAGAACTTTCCGGAGAAGTTCTAGTTTCCCACCAATTTGCTGGAAAATCTGTGCTACCAAGCAAGCCCCTTCGCTGTTGCGTCATTGGATTGTCAACACTTCGCCCCCTTTTTGCTTTGTTTACACGCCACAAGCGGGGGGGGGAGGGGCAGCAACGTGTGCGACAGCATTGAGACTTGGGGAAGCGACAATCGCCCGTCAAGTGCTCCGTCTGCCATCCAAGTCGTCCGCAGTCTTCTGTGGGGAAAAGCGAAGGGGGGTTCGAGCAGACATGCCATCTCGAAGACGAGACAGACATAGCGCAGTGTCCAGCGGGTGAACCCTCTGTAACCCCTCTGTAACCCCCCCCCTCCAAACCAACCCCTCCATAACGACACCCAACTACAACTGCATGAGACCACCAGCGAGAAGAATTGAGAATGACAACAAAGCAATTGGGTTCAGAAATCAGAATGCAACAGCAGCCAAAAAAGTCAAAAAGATTGCGGTTTATGTGGATCGAACACATGACCTTCAGATTGCAGATTGGGGATGTTACTCCTCAATTGCCGATTGAAGTGTTACTTCAGTCTGACGCTCTCCCAACTGAGCTAAACCCGCTAGTTGCTGTTGATGGTACAAGCGGGCGGTTTATGGGTACATCAAACTGTGCGGTGGGGTGGGTGGGGATGCGGGTGCGTGCCCCACCCTGGGACTTGGGGAGATGTTTGGGCAGGTGTTTCGTTTCGGTGAGGGTGCTATCTAGTTGGCTTCATGCTTCACATTGGATGCGGGATGAGGGCGAGAGAAAGCGCGGCAGGGCAGGTGTTCCCGGTTGGTGCAAGATTGTTGAGACACTGGTTGGCAAGAGAGACATAGTATCTCGGTATGATACAAGGGCAGTGAAGAGCGTTTATGCTGGGAGAGCTGTAATATGCTATACAGAGAAGAACGCAATGCGGTACCTGTGGAAGAGATTTGGATGATGGGCGGATGGTTCGTCCATGTATCCTATCTTCTCCAGCCCCAGCCCCCCCCCCCCTCCCCGAGTCTGCCTGCGCCTGTTCAACGTCGCAGTCGTCCTATTTGTATATCGGGAAAAGAGACCGTTTCGGTTTCCTATTTTTTCCCCGCGTCCAGCAACAGGAGGAGGGATGGTCAGGAAGACTGGACCAAACCCGGGTTTTGAAGCCACAATATGCGTCCTTGCGGTTCAGCCGGTCTTGGGACTTGGAGGAGAAGCTTCGACTGCGCGGTTACTTTGGTCCGTTCCTCTTGTGTCTCCAAAGGTTTTTTTGCGGACAGGTCGGTTAAGGGTAGTGAGCCAGGCTCGATCGACAGAGTCACTCCTCTGCGTCGAGCCTACCACCGCGGCAGTACATGGGTTGCCTTGTTTCCTCTGGACGCCGTGCCGAAAAAAAGTAGTTGCCAGATCCCTCGTCTAGGATGTCTTGGGCGCTTCATGCCATGGAATGGGGACCCCCCCTCCGCCTCTTCGTCAGAGATACCACCTTCATCACCATCGCCTACTCCCAACTCCCTCCTTCCAGGCCCCTAGAGCACCTATCCCCACTTCTTCCTCAAAGCCTCATAGAGCGTCGCATTCACCGGCAACACACTCCCATGCCTGAGGTTAGCAGGCCACGCACTCCTCGAGCTAGCAGTCCACGCATTCCCGTTATTCGCGGGATTCACGCTCTCGTACGGCCGATACCCATCGGCGCCATAATGATCCAGCAGCAGGTGCACCTTTTTAGCATCCGTATTGTCCCTATACGCCGTCGGCCCCTCGACACCGCTCTGGATGATGGCATCGTTGCCGCCGGGCCTCGTCCAGCTCCCAAACAGGCCCGTCGTCGAGACCTCGACAAACACCGTCTTCTTCGTCTCGTCCTTCATGAAGCGCAGAAAGTTGGTCTGCGTCGGGCTGGACGGGTCGTCGAGGGGGAGGAAGTTGAGGTCGATGATGTTGGTCGGCGCCTTGTCGATGAGGGTCTGCGGGGACGAAAAGGTCTTGAAGTCGGACGTGTAGGCGTAGCGGATGCGGATGTTGGACGGGGAGCCCGTGTGGCGCGAGTCGGAGGCGGGATAGAACTTGGAGGCCCAGTGAACGAGATATTGCCCTGTGACCATGGTCAGCTTGGTTGGTACCCTCTGGGGCATCCGACGACAGTGCCTACCTTTGGCAGGATCCCAGATCGCTTCCGGGGCCCAGACCATGCCGGCTGTCGCATCCTCAACCACGACAAACCTCTCGTTGACCCAGTTTATGAGATCCGTGCTCTCCCAGATGAAGATGCCCCTCGACCCGGTCCGTTGCGCGGCGTCCCATGTGGTCTGCCAGTGTCCTCGCGTCAGCAACATGCCCGTGTGTTTCCCGCTCCCGTCGAGCATCATCCCACAGGGAAGCCGGCATTTACCTTCCCAATATGCAAGTCGGTCCCAACAATGTACCACTTCTTCCCGGCCTCCTTGCCTCCACCCGGGACGATGGTCGGGTCCCTCACACCACCGGTTCCCTTGGTAGGCTTCATGACGGGTGATCCGCGGTTGAGAGCCTTGAACGAGAGTGGGTTGTTGCCGTTGCTCAGGTAAAAGTAAACGAATGGATCGGCGCCGAGGAAGAAGACGCCGAGATACCCAGCCAGCGACGGGTCTGCGCGCCTCGTGATTTCCCTTCCATCCTCTTGCTTGAGCCCATCAAGTATGCTGGAAAGATCCTGACGTGCGGCAAGACCATCAACGCTGAGCGCCAGGCATTGGATCCACCATGTTGACAAAACAAGGGCCAGAAAGGAGACAGTTCCCCATGGACGCGCCATGATCAATGTCGAACCGTGGGTGTGTTACGGTATATGGTGGCGTCGTCGGTAGCAGCACCTAAAGGTCTGCTTATCTTCTCCCGGTCTCCGGAGGGTCGGGAACCATGGACCTCAGATCAGCAGACAAATGAAGAAGTGCTCGCAGAAGAGAGTTCCCGGTCAAGAACTGTCGGCAGCGGGATGGGGTGAACGACTGATCTTATACATGAGTGAGCCCGGGACTCGGGAGCCCCCCTTTTCGGCAGAGGGGAACGCCATCCCGTCCGTTACCCCAGAGAGCACTTTGCTCAGAGGTTCGGAAGCCGGAGCGGGGGATTTAGCCTCAAATGTCAGAAAGACTCGCCGTGGTTGACTGGCTCCCTTGATTGCGTCGCTTGGATAGTACCCTACCGCTGGAGGAGGTACGCAAAAAGTAACGGCGGCCCACGGGTCGCAGTTGTTGCAATTGTTCCGCATTTGATGCCGTGGTTATACCGCTCGCGGTTCATCCAAAGTCTTGGCGGTTTGTTGGAGGATTGAGCTCGTTCGTGGATAAACTGTTGTCATCCCGGATACAACAGTCACAACGTGTATCAGCCGGTCCCTCACCAAGCAGTAGTCGCCAATATCGTACGTGATTTAACAAAGGCAAGACTAAAGTGCTGCTTCCTCCCCAAAACTATGACGTCTGTTGCTCGAACAACACTTAGTGGATGCCGAGTTGATAGCCGCCATCTGCGCAGGAAACTCATGACTCCCCAAGGTCGATGTCTAGTTTTGGGTAGTAGTCTCTTGTGCTAAGAAGAGTGATCTCCGACGCGACTTCGCCGTTGACTTGACGTAACATGGCGTCAAAGGCTTCCATACGAATACATCGCGAGTACTCTGACAAGGAAGAGTCCTGGGAGTCCTCAGGCAAGACGTCGTCGGACATTTCGTTGCCCTCGGCTGAGAATGACGTGGACCTGTGATCAGCTTCGAACTGGGGTTGCCCGGTGTGGTTTGGGGGAAGAGGCAAAGTGGCTTCCATAGTTTCGTCGACCACTGAAATCTCGACTTCCTCGTCGAGGAGCATTGCCCCGGGATTGTCAGAAATTTTCAAGGGCTCTTCCCCAATAATCGGTGAGTTGTGGTATGCGTGAAGGATGGGGCTGGTAGCGGATGCGGTCGTAGCCTGGCTGTCAGCGTCGTTCATGCCGGTATCGACAGTCGAAGCCATCATTTCCATCATGAGCTCGTCGTAACGGAAGGAAGTACCACAGCAGTGCCGTCCAAATAGACTCTTGATGGAGAATCCTGCAGCAATTGGTCAGCTTAGCGTATTGACTGGGCATGGGGAGCAGAATAAACCTCTCTCTAGCCACTCCTGTGGGTGAACCGTGCAGGGCCAAACATCTTTTGGGTTCAGTTCCTTGAGCAGATGGCAAAGCTCCGGGTAGGAGGAATGCCGCGAGTATGGGAAAGTGATGAGATTGGGTAACGTTCCTCCATCGCCGACGTCGTTAGAGACCTGACTGCCGTCGGACTGTGGCATTTTTGTAATGGCCTCAAATGCTTTTGCAATGTCTAGTTCATAGTTTTCTCCGAACTTGGTCATGTCAAGATCAAGGGGGACCTTGCGACCACTGGCCGTGGCCTGGGTGAGAAACTTGATGACTTGCTCCCTGAGTGTGCCGGACAAGTCGACGCCGTTGAAAATGCTATGGTTTTGTCAGCAGCAGTCTTGGGGCGTCTTTGACACGGCTTACATCTCAAGAAGGGGTTGGATCTCGCTAGGTAGAAGATAATCCAGCTCAGCATCCCGATTCAGATCATCCCCGCCGCCCCCAACTCCGGCTTCGGCAATCTCCTGACCATTAGGCAGTCGAGTTACCACTGGCTGAATCCTTACGACGGGCGATCCTAGGACTTTTTGGCAGTAGTTGCCTTTCTCGCAGCTGTGGAGGCGAACGTTTTCGTCGAGGGTCAAACAGCCGGGGTGAGATGTATTTCCGCACATAAAACCCATCAAGCCGGCAGCTTCGGGGGATAGGTGAAACTGCTTGCCAAACTTCGAGGACGCATCCTTGGCGACCAACGAGCCATACATTTGGAACTTGTACTCGTCGACGTGGATCTGGGCTTGGTTAGAGAGGTACGCAGACGAAGGCGACCAATAAGCTTACCTTTGTGCCCAGTGCTTTCGACAAGGCTATCCAGACATCTTCGTAGCTGTATCGGCTTAGAGGTTATCGGCGCAATGGGTTGAAGAGGCATACCCATAAGTCCAAGCCTGGAAATGAAAGACGGTCTCGGGGGGGTATTTCGAGACCTTTTGTAGCAACTCCTTGATCCCTTCAGCCTTGGAGGGAAAGAAGCAGTCATCCGTGAAGGACGTGTCGAGGTAGACTGTGTCGAGAGTCTTGAGGCCGGAAGTGTATTCGACCATGCAAGGTGATCTCGCAATGGCGTTGACAAACCATGGCTCACTTCTGATGTCGCCCGTATAGAGTACCGCTTTCCCCTGGCCTTCAAATACTGCATTCCCAATGTTAGATGACCCGGAATAGGATCCAAGGTACTCCCTACCAGCACTTACAGAACATGACAGCTCCGGTGCAATGGTTGGCGTCGAAGAGTGTGACCTGTATGTGGTTTTCGGGCTCGAGTTCAAGCACCACGGGGGTCTCCATCGGCAGAGGTTTCTTGTTCATGGTAAGTCGGCGCCCACTAGAACCTCGTTATAGTGGTACTTACAAGCAAGTTTTTAAGGTGCTTGTACCTTTGCACACGAGCCTCGAGGATTCCCTTGGCGTAGTTGAGACGACATGGAAAGCGCTC